GAAGTGCTCCACTGGTAATGGGGGATATTTCCGAGATTACGTTTCGAATTTGCATCCCTTGATATCGGCTTTGAAGATGGGACTTAAAAAATGGAGAAGGGGAGGCCTAATCCAATGACTTGTTATCAGTATTAGTAGTCGTTTATGGGGGACTTCGACAAAGGCCTTTTTTAGATCGAAGTACATTGAAGTTACTGTGTTTCCATCAACTCTATTGCTGGAAATCAATTCCAGAAAAGTAGGTCGGCAGGACTGACATGACTTTTTAGGCAAAAATGCATGTTGAGAGGGGGAATGTTGTTAGCGTTTATGAGATGGTCAAGTAATCGGTTGTAGACTATTTTATCGAGGATTCTAGCTATAGCCGGTGTTCGGTGAACACCACGATAGTTTTGTGTATAAGATCGGTTGCCGCTTTTAAACATATGTGCAATTATCGAGTATTTCCACTTGTCCGGAAAAATAGAATTTGACTGGAGTAGGCTGAATAACTTAGACATGAGTATTGGAGAAATTGTCATATGCTTTAGGATACATGGCGGGGTTTTGTCTGTCCCATAGGATTTGGCGTTGGATAGTTGTTTGATGGCTACTTTACCAGTTTCTTCAGTAAAACAGATCTCGTTAAGAGGGCGTTCTCTCATCTCGGTCAGTTGGGGGGTCACTCCCTCCCCGACTGTGTAGTTAGTTGAGAAGTATTTGTTGAATGCATTTGCTATTTGGTTGTCATTTGTTATAACTTGTCCTGATTCATCGATAATAGTTCGTGGTCCTGACTGTCGATGATTATTCATTTGTTTCTGAAGCATCTGAGCTGTTCGTCCAGGGGATTCTAGTACCCGACATTCTGCTGGTATGGTCTTTTCTGTCTCCTGGGGTAAGTTTCCTCGGGTAAGTTATAAACCCGTTGGATCCAGGGGCTCCCGGCTTTAGCCACTTACCTAAGACGCGACCTTATAAAATTACCAAAGACTTTGAAGGAACAGTTTTCATTGAAGACTGTGAATGCTCGCATAATGGCGTACAGAATTTCAACCGCAGCATTAGCCACATTACAGTAGGATGTAGACGGCCTTAGAGTGTTCGTCCTTCAAACGCCGAGATAGCTCTGCGTTTCGACTTCTCGGATTGGTATCCCGTTTACGTGGTAGATGCGCCTATCAAGGACCTTGCTTCAACTTCCCAGACGTAGCAAATTGCATTTATATGTATATGTATGTATATTGAAGGGTTACAGGCAGAGCCCTTGATGACCCTATTTATGTACAGTGCTTTCGCAGATTCATACTCAAAAATAAAATTAAATTGCAGGCATTTTAAATGTGATTGGGTCACAGTTCAATCATAATCATAAGGTAGTGCATGGGGTCTCTGTAAATTAGTGCGGAAGATTGTATATGACAGATTTTACAAAACTGGCTGTGCATAGTCATGCTGTACAAGCCGATTTCTGTCGAAAACTAGACGAGCAAGTTTTCTTTTAAACACACAAACTGTGTCAGCCGTCACCATCTCACTTGAAAGCGAGTTCCACGGTCTGATAACTCGCTGGCTGAATGAAAATTTTCGTCGGTCTAAACGCGTGCGCTCATTCCCGATTTTGTATGCATGGCCGCGTAGTTGGTTTGTACGGGCGAACTCAAAGAAGTCCTCTGCTCTTAGAGAGCAACCCTGGCCGCGAACAATCCGGAACGTCCAGAGTAGACTGCAGTTTATTTGTCTATAAGAGAGAGGGAATAGGCCAAGCAAAGTCAGCCTCTCCTGATAAGACAATTGTTTCAGACCGTCGACCATCTTTGTCGCTCTGCGTTGCACCTGTTCGAGTAAGTTGATATCCTTCCTCACCCATGGTGAGGCTGCTGGCATTCCATACTCTAGATGAGGTCTTACAAAGACACCAAAGAGTCTTTCGAAAAGTTCGTGAGGAAATATTTTAAATGCGCGTCTGATCCAGTGTAGAGTACTAGTTGCCTTCTCGACCATCTTTCTGCAGTGTTCTGATGGCGATAGATTTGTGGTCGTCCATACACCCAGATCTCTGTGTCTTTCCACAGTTTCTAGCCTCGTCCCGTCAATATAGTACTGGTGTTTGGGAAAGGCATTGCGGCCGGTGTTCAGGTGCAAAACCACGCATTTGGACACGTTGAACTTCAAAAGCCATCTGTTCGACCAAGCACACAGTTTGTTGATGTTCGACTGCAACTTCTCTGCGTCATCATCGCATTTGACTTCACTCCATATTTTTATGTCATCCGCGAACATGAGAGCCTCGCAATTCACTTCGCTGATGCAGTCATTAACATAAATCAGGAAGAGTACTGGGCCTAAGACAGAACCCTGTGGGACACCACTTTCCACCTTTACCCATTCCGAGGTAGAATTACTAACGACGACTCTTTGTAGTCTGGAGGACAGAAAACTTCTGATCCACTTAAACATTCTCCCTTGAATCCCTACATCCCAGATCTTTTGCAAAAGAAGCCTGTGTGGGACACTGTCAAAGGCCTTCTTAAAGTCAAAAAATATGACACCTACTGGAAAACCCTTATCGGTAGCTCGTGTCCATTTCTCGTGCGAGTAAAGAACGCTCGTTAGGCAGGAGCGCCCTGGACGAAAGCCGTGCTGGGCATCGCACAATATTTTGTTCTGTTCCAGGTATTTCATCAAGTGTCTTTTGATAATACGTTCCATTATTTTACACGCGATGCAAGTAAGACTGACAGGACGATAATTTCCGCAGTCACGTCTTGAGCCTCCTTTATGGATCGGAGTAATCAGTGCGCACTTCCATTCTTCCGGTAGCTCGCCGTCTTCAAATGACTTTTGAAATATTGCGGATAAGGGTTTGCATAGTTCATTAGCAAGTTCACGAAGTGCTAGGGCGGGAATTCTATCTGGGCCAGGCGATTTGGCAGGTTTCAACCGGAGTAGCTCGGCCCTAACTATGGTAGATGAAAAGAGTGGTTCCTCGGTTAAGGAGGGTAGGGAGGGGATAGGAGGGGGAGGGTACTGGGAGGAGAGGTTGGTTGGCGAATGGAGGGATGGGCAAATATGGCACTAGGTTCTCGGGTGAAGACGGACTGAAAGAAGTCGGAAAGGAGGGATGCTTTAACCTGGTCATCAATCTCCACTTTTCCATCTGCAGACCTGAGGGCAGGGATGAGCTCCTGAGTCCTTTTAGTACTTCGTATATAACCATATGGAATCTTCGGATGCTCCAACGAATTTTGAAGTATGTTCAGTTCAAACTTCTTTCGCAGCTTTGAGGCCTCACTTTTACAGACGTTTCGTTGCCGCTTATAGTCCTGTAAGTGTTCGTCGGAGCCACTTAGTCTGTACCGCCTCCACAGACGATTCCTTTTTCTGAAAGAGGCCTTCAAGTCCGGGTTTATCCATTTTGGGCGGTTTGTGATTTTCTTTCTTCTGAGAGGACAATGGAATCAACAATCTCTTTCAGTAAGGAACTGAAAGTATTCCAGTTGTCGTTTGCTCGACCATGCAGTTCAGTCTCCCATGATATAGCTGCCGCTTCCCTCCTCATGAGAGGATAGTCCCCTTTCCAAATGTTTCTCTTCCACCTATCGGGTTGGACGGGTTTGGAAAACAGTGAGTACTCGAAGTAGAGCGTGATGTGGTCGCTTGACCCTAATGGCTGTCGGTTCTGCAGGTCTAACACATTTTCCTCCTCTCGGGTAAAAATAAGATCAAGGCAGTTCGATTGCTGCCCTTCCCTGACCCTTGTTCCAAAGGTAGCATTCTGGCAGAGAAGTTTGTCCGTTGCCCATTGAGGTAGTTTGTGATTTGCTCCAGTTGAACAACAGAAGCCAACTATGAGATCACTCTTCCAACCGACAGAGATTTCCTTGGAAGTTCGCCTGGCTGACAGCACTTTGGATGACTTTCCAATGTTTTGTATCGTCCGCGAAGTTAGCAGATTCGTAGTGCCGGCCCCAGCACTGAACCTGGTTTCACTCCACTCTGTATGACTGTTCGCCTTGATTGCTGTTGTTCTGAATAGATAGCTTCAAATGGCCGACGGAGAAATGTTCGACCCATTTAGGAAGTTTTTTGATACTTGCCATCCTCAGATTGTGCGAAAGGCTTTGGTGAGGAACACTATGAAAGGTCATTCCGAAATCGATGCAAGCGACAAGCACAGTGTTTTTCATCGAGCCAGTTACTAACTATTTTGCAAAACTCCAACGAGCATGCCTAAGCCTTTGGTCTATATCACAAAATTTGAAAGAATAAGAAAATATTCAAACATCAGGCTAACAGAGCGACCTATCCAGCCTGGAATACTTACTCAGAAGCTTCCAACGTAAGTCCTTAAGAAGCGTACGTCTGCGCATTTGGTTTGTTAATCAGTGAAAAGAAACATGAGGCGAAGCCCACTTCTTCAGGAAGCCTTGAGTTGTTTTAAGGGTGAAATTTTATCTGTCCTTGGAAAACAAGTTTAACTTCGATATTTGGGATTGAAGGTTACGTTACATGCCTCAACTTAGATTAATAGGTATAGGAAAACGATAACTGTTTAGGCAAATGTATTGACTAAAAAGGCCACCTTATTAACGTCAATAGCTTTCATTATTCAAACTACTTGCTAATTAAGATTTTGCGCACGCTGGAGATGTTCGCGGGAGCTCCCTGATTTGTTTTATCTTCTTCATGATAGCTGACTGAAGGTCGAAGGCATGAATCTCACAGTTTTAATTCCCATATCGTCCCGGACCTTTGCAAATAGTTCATAAGCGTATTAACGGTTGTCAATGCACTAAAAGACACTTGCTCTTACGGTTTTCACTTAAGAATAAATTTCCCATTTCTGGTGACAATGTTGAATTTGATTATCAGCTTATGCTTGGTGTCACCGCTTCGATGAAAATATCATCATGTATATATGCATGATGAGATATGTCATATACCATGTCTTCCAAAAGTTATGGCTTTATTATTGCTTTTGTTCAGCCTCATCAGAACAGCCTGTTGGTAATACAAACATGGATCCAGCAGTATCAAAAAGCGGTTAGTTTGGAAACATTTAAATTAATATATCTAAAGTAACTTTAATCGTCCGTGGGCACACAATAATGCTGATTTTCTTACTTCGCCGATCGATACTTTCCAAGGAAGCAAAATAAATCAATTTAACGTCTGTCTTTGGTGTCAATTGTGCATAATGGTAATTTATCGATACGGCCGCGAATCAGTCTTGATAACATTTAGACGTCTAGATCGAGACAGTTGTTAGCTCGTTTTAATTTGAGGGCTAGTGCAGGGCTAGTTATCTAACGGGTTGACGGGGCATGTGTGATGTCAGTCACGCGAAAGAATTCCGGCGCAGAGAAATTGTCACCAAGTGTCGGCCAATCGCAAGACTAGCCCGCGACCGAGCGAACGGGCTAGCGTTAGGCGACTAAAATATTATCATCCCAGATATAGATGATTGGTAGTCGTTGCAACGATTTATTTTTCTTTATTTTGCCGTTTCGTTTATTTGTGATTCAAATCGGTTTGAAGGTGTTACTGACTGCCCATGTGGTTTCCCCAAGTTTTTACTTCATGTTAAGCATATGGTGAGTACAAATCCTCATATGAGGATTTGTACTCAGACGATTTTGCAATCTTGGTAAATGTAGTCACACACACTAAGAAGACTGCATCTTGGTTAAGTCAGACGTTGTTACCACTAACTGAAATCGCTCGCTACTCTGCCTCGTTGACCAAAACCTACAATTTCAGGTAAGCATTTAATTTTCCGCAAACGATGGTTCTAAGCAGACTCGAAAAAATCGTCACAGATTTTCGACGTTCACATACTAGCTCATATTCAAAAATAGATTTAGGGTCGAATTCGGACCTCCGCATGTTAAGAAGTGCCCCTGTCTTGGCACTGAGAAATTATAGTCGAGCAATGAATCAGAAAACCGACAAATACTCCGTATATTCAGCGCTAACACTGAATTTAGAATTATGCAGGTCGACAAAGCAAATTCAATTCGTTTTGCTTTAAGGCGAAAATTCGACATGAAAAAGTGGAGAGACTAAACAAGCTGATTTAAAAGGAAATTAGTATTAAGGCTTAAGAAGTTGATGTGTCTCCCGACATGCGTTTCTATTAATGCAAATCTACTCGGTTTTACAAGTCATCGAAACCTTACAGCACGCCGTGCGATGCTATATACTTGATCAGTCATTGATTAAGCACTTACTGATGCCATAAATCTAGTATGGTTTGCATAAGTCCTGTTTCTACTGTTAGGACTTTGACACAAGTTAGCAGAAGTCTCAGTTCACTAAGTGCGCGAATGTTTTCCTGCACAAAATCCAAAGTATGGAGGTCTGTCGTTCTAGCACATCCTCTGCATGTTTTCTGCTCTCTGTAGATTTCAAATGCTTGTGGTTGGATATCGAGAAAAGTTGTTCTGTATTTCATGTTTATTAGGGTCTCACTGTTTCAAACAACTGGTTCAACAATAATTGCATGGAGCGTCCGTAGAGAATATTCAAATAAAATTTCACTCAGCTAAGCCAAGACTCGTATACACTACCGTATTTGATGACGGATTCATGCACCGTTCCTAACTCGTAGGCAACTGCACGGAGCGTCTCATTGTTTGAGTTTTTCTTATCTGTATGCATTTGTTTATCTAGCTCCGGAACACGATTCATCCGCTCTCGGCTCTGAGTCGTGTTTTGCATACTGCGAAAAGTGCCGATGTGATGTCTACACCCAACTGCAGCATGAGACTGGAAGGCGGACAATTCTATCTTGTGTGTTAATAGCTATGTTTGGGTAAGCGAAACAACAATTTTCTGAATATGGCTTCTGCAGTTTTTATCCACATCGGAGACTTTTATATAGACTAATTTATGATTATCCTTGTCATTATTACCAGCAGAGTAGCCCCCCATTACCACTTCATCACCATCGTCAGCATAGTCGTAGGCTCCACCAATGCCGTCGTTGCCAGCAGGTTCAGCCGACATATTTTCAAAAGCCTCATAAGTATCCATAATATCACTAAGAAACTGTACTTCGAATTCTAAACGCACTTCAAACTGACCCCAACTGCATGGATTTTGATATTATTGCATTTACAATCACCAGTTAAACGAGCAGTTTAGAGGGGAAGAGCATCATTCTTCACATCCTCTTAAGATACCATATTTTAAAGTCCCTGTAATCGACAATATGGAGGGTTTTAGCAGAAATAATCAAGAAAAGTATGTTATTCCATGTCCCGCAAGGTAAGATCAAACGCTTTGTGACTTCATCCAGAACGGGGGCGCAAATACCTGACTCTCTGGGGTTTTCAGTAAAAACAGTAACGTAAATTGACACGCAGCAGTTTAAACTTTAATGCTTTTATGGACACCTGCTCATAGCTGCGCTATCAACAAAACAAAAATAAATAGCCGTCTGAGCGGGAATCCATAGGGACACAAAGATCAATACCTTCAATATCAGGTCACATAATTCTAGGAATTTCGTTGTGTAGTTTCCCAACACACAATTTTTTCTGAGAAACGTTGTGGAAGAAGGAGACATGTAAACTGTGACAAGTGTTTTATCCGCTTGATGTTTTGAATGCACATTTGAATCTATCACCAGAGACTACATCAGACGGGGGAAGTTTGTTAACCTTTTATTGATTTATCACACTATTGTCAAGGGAAGGATGAGATGGAGAGTATATTTGTTTTCATCAAAGTGCTACTGAGGTCTAGATATGCTAGAAACAACGAAGATCGCCTTACTAAGTCGATCTGAAGTATTCTACCGAAATGACATCGCATTTGCATTTTCCTCCCGTATACACTTGGGATTTTTAAATTTAAATCACATATGAACTTATATCTTGCTCATATCACTGCCGGGTTCACTTGTAAGGGAGCAGCTCCAAGACTGAGTCCCTGGTTGTGAAACTTGAGGTCCGAACACATCATAAAGGCTTGGAATAGAGAACAGACAGAAATTACCCTCTAGGTTATCAGCATAACGCAAGTAAACGTTCCACCTATCAAGTGGTCACGACAGACGTTTGAAAATTCGACCCAGCCCATAGTTTTTCCCAAAGCGTACTTCAAATTACAATTGGTTTCAAACTTCAATGCCAGTGAAGCTGCGTCCAAGTAAAATAAATTGGAGAACTGTTATTAGCTTGACGCTAAGGCCATTGTGGCGCATGGACCGCCCACTCTTCGACCCCTCAAAGTTGGGCCACGTTAAAAGAACGGCTGATCTCCGAAAGGGTGCACAGTTTGGCTTATAAAGTACTATTTGTTAGCTAAGTAATTCGGGCATGGACGCAACCTTATACCAGTTTTTTTCCGTAAGAGGTATGCGCATATATGTTTGTCACACGTGGCGTTCAGTAATCCCTGCTTCTCAATTAACAAACCTAGCAGTCAACCCATAAAAATATACAAAGCAGTTTTGTGATCAATAAACAAACTGCCGTCCAAAATGTGGACGCCAGCAAGGCTGAATCTTCAGAGAGTTATGTGATCTGAAATTGCTACAGAAGCCTTTGCAGTGTCTAAAGTCCGTCGTCATTTGTCTAATTTCATATACCTCACGTGGATACGGGCATGAAAGCGGCAAAACCGGCTAATTCTTGATTGTTCTCCAGCTGTACGCCTCTTTTTGCGTCGTTCCATCAAAACCATCCTTATTTCAGGGCATTGAACTTTGCTCCGATAGGTACACCCTCCTTGTGTGCATTTTCAGGCGTTTGTGTAATGTGTACTTTTTGTCTAAACGCAACAGCATAGTTAGCATGCCTCTGAGACTTGCGGTGGACTCGCACAGAACAGGCGACGAAATACCAACCGGGCAGATAATACCAAAGCGGCTATGCAAGACGTTAATGTTAAGCGATGTAGGAAATCCCCATAACTATATTCAGAAGACAAAATGGCGAGCGAGCGTTGCTTTCGATAACTTCTCCTCAGGCCAGTACAGTTAAACGGGACGTGGTACAGTGAGTGAAAAAATCGAGAAAAGTTAGTTTCAAATACAGGCTAGGAAAGAGCGGAAGGGTGCAGAAAGTTGTATGTGGTTAGTCAACCTTTGACCACGGTAAGCGCCACATTTTCGAGGTCATTGCATGTGGAGGACCAAACAGTTTTCGCGTCATTCTTAGACTGTACCCCGCCCTATGTAATTGTATTGGCCTGATGAGAATTTACCGAAAGGAACGTTCACTCGCCACTCTCTCTTCTGAATATAGTGATGGGGATTTTCACACATTTAAAACAGTCCAAAGACCCCACGGTGTTAAAGGCACTCAATGGGTACCTACGTTTTAACACCAAGCTTGCGGAGGCGAAAGTGATGGCCAAGTTTATCGGGGACTGTATTGAGAGAAATGAGTATCCAGACCATTATTGGAGAGCGCTGCGTCGTAGTCGCACAGTTATTACCACAGAAACCCTGAAAAGATATGCCGAGAATCAACTGGAGAGTACCCTCGTAAAATTAGAGGAACTTGAGCGTCATGTGTGTCAACGCACAGCCGTCCTAGATATCCTGGCAGATGAGGAAAGACAAGAATTCGACATGTACACTCAGTCCATTGAAAAGAAACGTGGAGAGGCAAAACGCTCTGCTCTTCTTAGGAGTTTACATGAGATGAAAGCCCAGTCACGGTTTCCGAAAGACCCAGCTCGGTACGTACACAACTACTCTTATATGACACTTGATAAAACATCACTTGAAGCATTATCCCTTGGTCCGAAATTTTGCACACCTCGTCGAAAAGTAAATCAGTTAGAATTGGAAACGCAGTTCGAGAACCTCTGGAACCAAACATTCGATCTATTGCCCGTTTCCACAGACAGTATCCAACACTTCAAATCCACACTAGTGAATTGCAGCTACCAATACCTAAACAAAGGACCAAAAAGTCGAGGATTACTGACAAAAGCACACGTGGAAAAATTAAAAGAACTTCGAGGGAACAAAGAGATCTTGGTAACTAGACCTGACAAGGGAACAGGCGTCGTCATAATGAACAGATCGGACTACGTAGCGAAGATAGAGTCCATACTATCTGACCAGAAGAAATTCAGAAAGACAGATAAATAGAAGGATTGCACGGATGACGCAGAGGCGAAATTGACTGACTGTTTAAGAAGGCTCCACACAGGAGGTCACATAAGTGACCATGACTTCGAACACCTCCGGCCAGTCGGGACACATATTCCCCGATTATATGGTCTACCTAAGATCCATAAGGAAGGCCTAAGGGTTCGTTTAATTTCAGACATGCGGAACTCTCCGTATCATGCGATAGCTAGGTGGTTAGCAGGGAAACGCAAGCCCATGCACGCACCACGCAACTACCGAGATATCTTTCAATTCATTGACGACATTAAGGACCTCAACGTTAACGGCATGACGATGTTCTCACTGGACGTCACAGCTCTTTTTACAAACGTCTCGGTCACCGAGACAGTTGATTACATCTGTGATTTTCTACCTGTCAGTCAGCAAGAAATAGGAATACCGACGAACACACTCAAGGAGCTGTTACTAAAGGGCACACTAAATGTGCAGTTCCTTTTTGGCCACCAACTCTATAGACAAATAGACGACGTCGCTATGGTCTCGTCTTTTGGACCTCTCTTAGCTCACGTCTTCATGGGCAAACCGGAGAGATTTCAACTAAGCGATCAGAGGCGGGACCCAAGACGTTGATTTCTGTGGTCGAGATACATGCAAGAACAACAGTCATATGGGACAAGATATGCGATGCTGCCACCTCGATCGACTACTTGTATCGTGACATGGCTGCCCGAGGTGACGACAGTGAGAGATATCAATGCGCCCTAATTTGTTTGATATTGTTTTGAAGGTTACTTTCATGTAGAGCAATTCAAATGCTTTCTTGGTCTCTCCTGTGCCCTCTACGCCTTGTTTTGGTCTCTGACTGTCCCCTGCGAGACAACTTTGAACTAGATTTGAACACATTACTTAGCTAGCCCAGCCTCAGATTTAGAGAGTCTTGAATGTTTAGCAGCCCAAAGTTGCTGTGGAAGAGCGCAACGGCACGATCGTTTCTATAAGCCATAGGACGTCTAATTCTATATCTCGAGATTTCAGAACTGATGTATTTTTGTTCATTTCCGCTGTGAGGCCTTTTTTGCAGTCCTTGCAAACTCACACATCAATGTAGAATGAGACCAGTCAGGGAGCTGCTGTGTTTGAATTGTATTAACGAGAAAGTATTGCTCATCGTTTGATGGACGTGGTCATCCTCGTTCCACTTGACGACGGCAACGGTCGCGTTGACGTCGCGCATAAAAACCTTTTGTTCAAGTCCTGTTATGCCCAAGGCGATTCCGGCACCACAAAACTAGTACTTAAAAGGGTCCTGCTGTCGAGACCAGGTCCGCTATTTGGGTTGATATTATTCGTCCCCTCGACTTCTGTGCACATTAGAGAAGGTTAAGAGAACATCTTATTGGTCATCCAAACCGTCCAGGTAGGAGACCGCGACAGCATCAGTATATACACATTTCTCACGGATGCGCCATCGAACACTACACTTATTGAGGTAATCTACTCTAGCCACACCTCTCTTCCCTACTCTATATCCGCGTTGTATGAATGCTGATCGTACCTTCCTTTCATTCCAGTTTCTTTGTTTGGAGAGGGTTTTTAAAACGTCCAACACCCATTGTTATGCTGTCACTTTTTATTTTAACATTGTCACAAAATATCTAGTCAAGGGTCTGGTTTATGGCCGAGGTTACTTATTCGGGAGTACATTTGTATTGAGCGAAAGAGCTGAACATCAATGAAGTTTGTGGTATCACAAAGTCTGATCCTCCATATTGTCACTAATATGAAGGGGACCCAGTTTTTACCATTTAATAATACCAGTAAGCGAATTTAATGCCTGTTTCAGGCATTGTCAAAAAGGCATTGAATGGCCGTATTTTTACTCCGATGACTACTTAAAAGTATCTTGAACATTTTGAGGCAACAGCCACGGCAAGGTCTTTTAATTTTTTCTTTGGCACTTACAAATGAATATTGCCGGTTATTTTCCTTCATCACAATTGCTGCCCGGAGTAAATGGCCTCGGTCATAAACCATACGCTTGCCAAGTCTATTACCACAGACTTACCCAGGCGAAGAATTCATACTTATAAATCACCGATAGGCCTCTAGTTAGGACTGACCTTCGGAAGAGACATAGTTCATTTTCAATTCCACCCTGACAAGAAGAGTTGTGCAATTAGGGCGATATCTGCATCAAAATGAGATGCTCCTTTGCACTAACAAGAGTATGCCAATGCATATGGCGTTTGCTTGAGAGTCAGCTACACGTACTGCAGAGTACAATACTGAAAGCTTAAGCAAACTTCCTATGTAGTTCTGCAGCGTAAAAGCTGTCTACCTTTTCGATGTGCAAACCGCTTCATCTGCGAAATGCCAGAATTTAACAGTTACCTCCTTCGTCGAATTTCAGGGGATGCCTCTTCTGCTTCCTTATCCCCTGGTGTGTAGACTCCTGCCTCGATGTTAATCACATTTGTCCTACTTGCGGAAACAGCCTCGGTGTCTATCGTCGTCTATAAACCTTACTGAGGAATTTCGCCTGCCAAATTGTCGGACATTTATCGCGTTTTGTGCTCCCTTTCTAATTTAAAATTTGGTGCGTTTGTGCAGTTTTACAGATTTCTTATGAGATGTTTTATGTTAATTTGTGAATAAAAATGTCCTGCCTCCTCGACATTCATCATGTTTGAGATAACGCAATTTTAAATCGAAATGCAAGTCGTTTACTTCGAATTAAACAGTCCGTTCCAGTAACTACAGTTGGACGGAAACCCACAAAAATACAAATTCCTTCATACCTTGCAAATTTTAGGGTATTTTTCCCTGCGTAGAGGCTTTTGAAAACTGTTTTCTTTGGACAGATACCTTTTAAACAAAAATAGTTAAATAACTGTTGGGTAAATATTGATCATTAGGAATGATTAATTCCCGTTCTCATAAGCTACATATGCTCATAAAACGTTTAGGCTCTTCTCTGAAATAAGGAGGGACAGGATTACAAAAGAGGCAAGAAACAATTGTTTTTTTTTCAGGTAACTCTGGGTGACTCCAGGATGTTAAACAAACTGAGGTTGTTTGGTTATGGATCTATGATTTGTACAAAGCCCTGTTCATTATTATAATGCAGATGAGTCATGAGCAAGTTTAAGTGTAGCCCACCCGCTATACTATCGGCTCGATCGTAGCGTTATTTCAGACAGCAAATAAAGCAAAAGCTACGGAAGAGTTTTTGTGAACGTTGAAAGGCGTTCCATTCTGACACTATTCAGATTGATATTCTACATTTATACGAAAGGATCAGTTATCTTTGATATAAATAGTGTTCTAGGTTTCTATTAGTAAGTTAAACTGCCTAGGAGGGCCTTCGGCGGCTTATATCAAAGAAGCCATAAAATTATCCAAGCATTTTTGTCAGATCATTTCAGACTGACGAGTTGTAGGAGCGCAAGCATGTCCTCTTGTCCATGGGAATAAACATACCCCGTAAAGTTTAATTTCTCAATCCCATTTACTCGGCTGCTCTCGTAGGCAATACCCTGTCCGTAGAAATTAGGTTTGTTTTTGTTTCAGAACTGCGGGCGGTCGAAATTTACAAAATAAGACAAGACTTGAGAGTCTCTCTTACCAAGTGTTTGGTCTAATTAGAGTAGGCTTTAGCCACTGAGGCAGAAGACACCTTCCCCTGGGAGCGACTGACGGCAGTGGACGAGTAACTTTTTTCATCATACCTTCACTGACCAGAACACACGTTACTTGAACTTTTGTATTTTTCCCAACTCATAATAATTTAAGTCTGAACATGTTCTGCCAGTTAATATTTGCTAGCCAGTTAGCACCTGTAGACGTATGCAACGACAGCAGGTACTTTAACGCCGTCAACTCCAGAATAGTGCAGGGCCTTTAAGGCATGCACTTTCCATGGCCTTGTTTCCACGGTTGTTGCAATTACAGGGTAGCAACAATATTATAGATCATGAATAATTATCCTGGAGAGACTTCAACGGCCAGCCTATCTTTAAACCTCAGGTAGACTATCTGAGTGCTGCCGAATGCTTCTACCAAAGGTCTCATTACTTGCAATTTCCACAAAAAGTGTGGAAATTTTTTGAAGACTTGAAGATGTCCATCTTAGAGTCCAAATTGTGACAATAATCACTTACCTAAAAGTCTACAGCCATTTGAAAGCGTACTCTCAGTGACCGTTCAAAAAACCCAGCCATTTGGGATTTAGCCGCCTAGAGGAAATTGGAAGGGGGAACCTAATCGCGCCAGGAGTTCGAAGAAGCGAATAGCAGGCTGTAGTTCTCACTCGATGAATGCGTAAAAGTTCAAATTCGTTTCAGGGAAGCAGAAAGTGTGCCTTTACCTCGGCTTCGAACCACCCTACCTAATCTGCGGAAATGCCCATAAGCAGCCGCAGACATCTGTTCTCGTTAGGTCTCGTAGTTTATAGTAGAGGTGAAAGCTCAGCCTCGGATCACACTAGAGGGCGCCATTTAAACTAACCTGGCTACGAACGTCAATCTAAGTTTTAACTAGTTTTGATCATGGATATGCAAGACATTGATGCCCTTCACAGATTGGCGGTGGGATATCGTGAGATGGACGGTTATACGTGCAATCAGATGAACGGCGACGCAGTTATTTTTCCTCTTTTAACTCAAAAAACGACTGCATCATAGCGTAGAATGGGGGGGGGGGGGGGGGGGGGGGGCTGAGGAAGATGACGCGGAGGATCAACCGGAACAACATTCCCCCCCCCCCATGTAAGAGGTCTGAATTTGACAGTACTACAAGTTTTGTCGCAATGTAGACGTCTGGGATGAACTGCGTCATGGGGTTAGAATTTCCTTTCATCTATTGCATCATCACACACACAGCCCAAGGAAGCGTCTTCCAAAGCAGGCAAAAGGCCAAACAGTAGCCGTACGGTAGTCACAGAACTTGCATTACAGTTTCACTTTTAGAGCAAATGTGTGCCCTAGCCAGCTGGCCACTAAACGGACGTACGGTAGTAGAATTTTGGGTTGCAGCGTTCTAAGTAAAGGAATTAGAAAGGCAGTCGTGTGGGACTACCAGCCTCCCTGTTAATATCCGCCAGACACGCACATACGCACTCAACTTCAACAGGAGTGCCTGTCATAACAACTCACACCAAAGGCCGTGCTGGCGGACCAGGTTCTCAGGTTGCCCGGGCTAGAGAGGACTTAGGGTCGCGTGTGCACGAATTCGGGTGCATGCGGTTTCGCTCAGAGTTTTTTGCAGGGGCGTTAGTGCTAACAAAACGCGGGCACACACACACACTGTAGGGCTAACGCACGCGGTAAGGGTGGACTGATTGATCGCTGACGGCCAGGCGGGGCTGTTGGCATTTCTGGAAAATATCCGCATTAACAGGTCCACGGGGAAGAGGTTCGCGCTTATCCATAGCCAGAATTAATTAACACTGCCATGTAGGTCTAACTCAAAATACATATTTGGCAGAAATAGGTAGAGGTTAGGAACGTCTTCCTACATTCGCTCAGTCCCATAACACTAAGAGCAATAGCACCAGTTAGCTTTGGAAAATAGACGGCAATTCAACTATCGCCAGCGACAAACTTAATCATCCCCTCAACAAAGGGGGTCTACATTCTTGACTTACGTTAAAGTTCGCGTACAGCGAAGCAAACTTGTGCCGCATCTATCTCACTCCCTCCTACACCCACCGTGTTCCGAAGGCAGTACAAGAGTAAAATGGCTGAATTTGGGCCTGGACGCAGTGGTTGGAAAAGCTAAACAGCACACTTAGGTGCAGCACACAGGCCCTTAACCCTAACCTCACACCTACCAGTTTTCATTAAGGGGGCGTATCAAATCCCATATGAGCGAGAGTGTCCGAAACGCCGTACAAATAAAGGATCGTTGCAGTTAAATGACGGTTTTGTGTATAACTAAGCCATATCAGCAGTTGTCAACCTTTGGAATTAGGATTGTTAGCGTACGACTGTTAGTTTCAAAGCGCATTTGGTTGGTTGTGGTGAGGCCTAAAGAACTGTTTCTAAACTTCGGTCACACGTACCTCTCCCGCGCAATTGTCCAACTAGGGCTGACTGGGAACTGATCCGAGTCTGGTCGCTGACAAGAAGTGAAGACGGATTCTGTCATGTAACACATAGGAGTTTCGATACCTATTCGGAGTTATAAATGCCACTGTATGAGGGAATCTTTGCAGTCTGACCCTCGCTTCATTGGAGGAAAAAGTTATCCAGTCAGCTTAAGATCTTCCAGGCCACAATTCGTAACGTATCCTGATGGATTTCAATGCGTCATATTTACTATTAGTAACGACTTTGCCAGAATATCACGAGGAAGGGTCTCGGTGTATCAGCCTCAGCTTCTCTTCCCAAACTTATTCACTAGTGGCCTGTCCAAGCCTGCCGTTTGAGTGGTGACGAGTCTGAACACAGTGGTTATGTGGCGTACAAACTCCGCCTGTCGCTGCCGCTATTGGTCAGTTTCACAGCAAGAATGCTGTGTGAGTAACGGGTAGCTTTACTGTGTGAATACGACTCGGGAGAGCCATACGGCGATTGCGTATGTGAGCACGGTGTGAGCAAGACTGTTGAGTGATATTTGAATGATCGTCGTCATGTATGCGCACACTATCGAATTGGTGGTCGCGCTGGCTACATCGACGGGTGCAGTGTGGGCAGGGAAGGCGAGCGTGATGGGCCTTGGCCGGGGCCTATGCTAGTCTGCGATGGATTTGCAGGTGTCCGACCAGGCCAATGTAGAACTAAAGTGCCCGATTGCAGTGTGAAGAAGTCGTTGTTAGGTGAACACTGATGGTGGTTGTCCTCTATTTACTGGTCGTGTCTCAGTTGTGCTGACTGCAAAGATGTCCGGGTAGCGCAGAGCCACACGAAAAGATGCTGGTACTGTGAGAGAAGATGAGGAATTAATCAAAATTATGATCGCGTTTTTGTTATGCGGGAATTGAGTTAGTCGTACTGACATTGCGGTGAATAAGGGGGTGTCTAAGAAAGTCAACCTAGGTTTCGAACGCGCATTGAGACTGTGGTCATAATAACAGGGGGTTAACGTTGGCGACATTGGTTCGCGGCATTCCACCTTGCGCACTTGTCTTTTAATTTTGGCTTTCTCTGTTCGACTAGCCTCGAAATTAACTGCCTTGGCTATTACGACTGTTAGCCGCTGCTGGCGGTTCTCCTTAAAGCGTTTCCTAGGTTTATAACGACCGAGGATGGCAGTTCAGCCGTTGTTGACGTCGATGTCCATCGTGTGCTCTAAGTCAGTAAGAACAGTGACTTGCGCGTGAGTTAGTTTAAAGCGATAATAGACTTTCGATGCGTCTACCGCACTTTCTCATCCTCCTCCTCCTCCGCCCCCTCCTCCTCCTCCCCCCCCTCCTCCTCCTCCTCCCCCACCTGGAGCCGTTGTCAAAACAGAGTCGGGAAGACTGGAGGCGTCATCTTGGATGACAAAAATGACTTCAGAATCACGACGTTCTTTATTG